CTGTAGGCCCACTATTTTATTGCTGAACTGGGGTCCTTTCTGTTGCCTTTCCAAATAGATGCTTGCAAGCAGTGCTGATCAAAGACCATTCTGTATGCAAAGTAAACCAGGGAAGAGAAGCAGATAGAACATGGGTGCTCCAGCGCTGATCAGGGAATAGGTCATATTTTAAAAATAAGGAATTGGAAACACATGGTCCACAAAGCAGTTTGGCACAGAAGATGTGGACAAACAGGCTGGTCCTACCATTAATCATAAGAAGGCAGCTGCTTCAGGCAGCAGATGGTGGGAGATGGCAGGAAGATGTTGGAGGAGTAACTGTACCTGATCCCTTCAAGGGCAATTGAGGATGCTGACCCATCACCCAGGGTTGAAGACAGATTTCAGTCAGTCCCATCGAGTTCTGTATGTGGACTTGTTCTTTGCGGCTTATCTCAGGCAGGAAAATGTCTTGGGCCAGTGGCGTGAGGAGGAGAAAAGATTGTCTACCTCATCTAATTTCCTTTTAAGGAGTGTGCAAGCACATCTATCAAGCCATGTTCAAAGGATGACAACTTTCCCAAGGAAGCAGCCGAGCATCTCAGGGCATTCCATTTAGATTGTCCCCAAACAAGGCTCTTAGGTGACAAGGCCATTTGCTGGAGATCTTGGAAAGGTCTTCCAGCCAGAGCAAGGCATGAACAACATGTCCACACATAACAGGGCACAAAACCTAGGTTATCTGAAAAGGAGTCTAAGCCTGCAATCATATATTTGTTCACAGTAGATCTAAGTTAGCCTTTGAGTATCACTGCCCAGGTGGCCTTCATCCAGGACCTCTTCTTCCTCTTATCAAGATGGAAGCCTCAGGTAGCCATGGACGATGATTTCAATATATGATTACTGCAGCAAGATTACTATATGCACAGAAATGGAAAGATTCGACACTACCCACTCTGGAGAACTGGTTGGTGACGTTGACAGATTTTGCTGAAATGGATAAATTGACTTCTTTGATTAGAGAAAAGACTTTATCTATATTTATGGGTGACTGGAAGCCTCTTATGGTAAAAATGAAAAAATGAATTTGTGATTTATGGTTTTGATGATTAAATAGGATAGATTACAGAAAGAAGAGTAATATGATGTAACTTTAGAGAGAGAGGTTAAAATACATTTGTACTTATAACTACTGTGAAGAATATTGGAAGCCACTTCTTTGTATATTTTTCTCCAACTTTTTCTTTTCTTTTCTCACCCTTTTGGCTTTTTTCTTGATTTCCTTTTTCTTCCTTACTTTATATTAGTTTGTGTTAGGTTTTTTTGTTTAAGTTTCAATAAAAATTACATATACAAAGTGGAAATCTCAGGCAGAAGCCCTTGGACCCCAGAAAGAGGAGAGAGGGCAGAGCAGAGCCTTCCTGGTTTGCTTGGGAAGGCTGAAACTCATCCCTAACCAGGTAGAAGAGGCAATGGTTCTAGTAAACCTAATGGCTGTTTTATAAGTGAGCATTTTGCCTTGACAGATTGCCCTTGTTAGATTTATTCCTCTGTTACAGGTAGTGATCAGCTTTATCCGATGTAATCACTAACAGCTTTATTGTTTGCTCTCTGAACAAGCAGAAGTCAAACTGTGCCTTAAAAGTAGGAGCTGTTCATCATGATCTGACTTTTAAACAATGCTGATCTCCCTCCCCTGATCTTTCCTATTGCCTGCCCCAAATCCAAATCGTTTAACAGGAAATGCCAGGATTTGCTCCTGTGACCTTTTGCATGCTAAGAATCCTCCTTCTGAACTTGCAATCTTTTACTAGAGTGACCTCCTCAGCAAAAGAATTCTCTGGTAATGTGTCAACTATAAATTAATAGGACTCCAAAAATGTAGGGGAGGAAGAAACAATTTCTATGATTTTGAAAGACGTGCTTAAAATAACTCTTCTCTTTCTTTCTCCCCAAAGGACCTTCTCTATGGTACAAGTCCTATCCCATTGCCCGAGGCAGCCGTCAGTCTCCGATTGATATCATCCCCACGCAAGCTATCTATGACCCCAGTTTGAAGCCTCTCTGTATTTCCTATGAATCAGGTTCCTCTCTTGACATCTCCAACAATGGGCATTCAGTCATGGTGGATTTCAAGGATCTTGATGACAAAACAGGTGAGCAGAGTTTATTGATTTTAATACCTCTAACCCCCTCTAACTCTTTACTCAAGATGTAATCTACGACAACTATAAGATGCAAAATGAACCAAAGAAACATAGAGTTATGTTCCAGTCAATGGCTACATTCTCTGCATTAGTTCCTTCTGAATGGCTCTAAAGATGGAATGAATTTCTGAATGATCTCTGGAACAAGCTCAGCAACTGCTTCTTAAGCAAAAAGGTGATTTTTCTAGCTGCACAAAGTCAGATGCAGCTCCTGTGGGTACATTACATTTAATTTCTAGAAGGAGTCTCAAGGGCACCGTGGGAGCAGGGTTTGAGGGCAGAGGTCTACAGTCCTGCTCAACGCAGAGCAGGACAAGTCTTGAATGTGCTAGATAAGTTTTGCTGATAGTGTTTGTGAATGTTCAGGAAATATTTAGTTTCCAATCATTTATTTATTTATTCAATTTGCACAGCTGCCCATCTCACATATGCGTCTCTAGGTGGCTCACATAATTACCCCCCCAAAATACAAATAAATAATCAAACAATAACACAAAAAGCCATTAAAACAGGTTAAAAATTAAAACCATTAAAACCCTGAACAATTTAGTAATGCCATGGTGAAAAATCCTCCTGCGTGTTATCCTTCCAGTTCTCATTGAAGGAGAATTCACAGGAGTGCCCCCAGGGAGAGTGTCACAAAAGTCAAAATTTGGCCAGAACTATGTGGTGCACATAAGAAAGGGGTGGGGCTTTGGTTGCAGGGTTGTGACCACCACCTTGACTTTTTGGACTCCCCGGGGATACCCCTGCTTCCCCAAATTTCTTTCCAAAGAGAAGAGAATGTTTGTGAAATTCTCATGGCTGGAGTTTAACCCCCTTGTTCAAGTGAGGAAGTGGCCCAGTAAAATGTGGGAATGCCACGTCTTGCCTTGTACAATCACCTCTTCAGTGGACTGCTACCATCTCGTTGGATTCTCCCAGATTCAATCAATCCCAAAGAAAACAAGATGAGGAAAGTCCTCCCGTATTTCTTTTTTTTCAGATTGGGAGGTGGGGGCAGCCAAGGAGGCTTTAGAATGATGGAAAAATGAATCATGGAAAATAATACCAGAGTTGCACCCTCCACTGCCTCCAGTAGTCTCAAAAATGTCCCAAAGATCAATTGGAAAGACATTCTCAAGCATTCTGAGAATGAGCTAATACATCAAAAACCTCTTTTGCAAGGAAAAAACTGCAGAACTCAGCACAGCATTAGGACTGACTACCCCTGAAGGGACTAGAATGAATGGCTTTACACGGATTTCAACCAGTACGTTCCAGCCCCAGCAGTTAAATAATGTTGGACTTTGGAATCAGGCACCTTGCAGTGAGGGCTTCTAACCTGGGGGTTATTCCATTTGCTTCCAAATAAGGTAAGAAAGTGTTGCAATGTTTATGGCTTGCAATGTGAATGAAACTAGACAATGGTTACAGACTCAACAAACCCTGGTTAAGCAAACTCGCTTAATGTGATATGTGAGCCAGTCAAGGAGTTTTGGAGCTTAGGGCTGAGAGGAAAGGACTTTACAGTATGGGTCTCCCTGTCTGAGTTTCTGGAGGCAAAACCTGCTGTTTTGACGAAGGGTTTATTTTGCCTGGGCTTATATTCTGCTGTGTGGTATAAATAAAACTGTAGATATGTATAGAAAGTGTCCAGTCTTCCTTTACAGACAGGAAACAAAACTCTCTTACTGTAATCCCTTCAATTTCACTTGTTTTGTGCCTACAAGTCAGTTTTTGACTTCTGGCGACTGCCTGGACAAGACCCTGCAGTTTTCTTGGCAAGATTTCGGAAGTGGTTTGCCATTGCCTCCTTCCTAGGGCTGAGAGAGAGTGACTGGCCCAAGGTCACCCCGCTGGCTTTTGTGCCTAACGCAAGACCAAAACTCACAGTCTCCCAGTTTATAGCCTGGTGCCTTAAACCACTACACCAGCTGGCCTTTTATCCTCTGCCTTTGGACAGTGAAGGTGAGAAGAAAGGAATGTATGATTATTACCACTCAGATGGAACTTCTGTCAATTTCTGTTTTCTTTTTGGGTTCCAGCTATCAGTGGAGGCCCCTTGGAAAATCCTTATAGGCTGAAGCAATTCCATTTTCATTGGGGGACAAGCCAGAATGCTGGATCTGAACATACCATTAATGGGAAGTCTTTCCCTTGCGAGGTGAGTCATTTTATAAACATTGACAGAGCAAAGCTGTGCACGAAAGAAAGCATAAAGGTGATGGATATCCCACGTGTATCCAAAAATTGCTGAATGGTCTCCAGATTTTCAGAAGCAAAGATTTATGCCCAGTGTAGATGTATGTGCGCCTAAGAATAATGTTATTTTAATCTGTATAAAATAGACCTAAAGGCTTGTTTTTTGATCATACATTGTTCTATCAGAGAACAGATTTTAGCAAGAATGTGAAAAACAGCAAATAGCTCATTAAAGAAGTTAATTTGGCACAAGTAAAATTTCACATAACACATTAAATTATGTTTTGCTTAACCATAGTTTATTGACTAAGCCACAGTTGGCTGGGTTCACACACGCTTATTCATACATTATGGTTTGGAAACTACAGTGGATAGGTTCACTTAATACATTAAGCCACAGACAAGCAAACTGTGTTTATGATTTAATATGTTGTCAAACTCTAGCCTCGCCTCCCTGAATCTTGTCTGGATCTTGTTTTCTTAGGACTTCCTTTTCTATACAATGTTAGTATTCTGCAAATCTTGCCGTGTCCAGGAGCTGTTCATTTATTTTTCTTCTATGTGGATCCTGTGGCTACAAACAGGTTTATCATTTGGAGAGGGATATAGATTGGAAAGCAATCCTTGGTGAGCACTGAAAACCAGGGCCAGGCACTTATCTAAGCTCATATTTTTAGTTCACATATGTGGATCTCTAGACACTCTTCTATAGCTGGAGTTTCTTTAGCGTTTTTGGCCTTGGCTGACTTCCCTGGTAAAAATACAGCTATCTGCCAACTTCGTTGGATCTTCCCAGAAATTCAGACAACTTCCTTTTCTGAACAAAGCAGTACATTCAGCTCACCTGCTCAGTGTGGTCAGCCACAGGAAGAACAAGACTTGCTCTGTTTATGTTTGGAATAATGATGTTTGCCTGGTTCTCCTCCCAAGCTCCATTTAGTTCACTGGAATGCCAAGAAGTACGCAACATTTGGAGAAGCTGCAGCAGCCCCAGATGGCTTGGCGGTGGTTGGTGTTTTCTTAGTGGTGAGAGCCGTAGTACCTGCTATATGTGTTATAGGCCTATCACCCATCAGCGCATGCCATTCAGCACCCGAGGCCAACCTTTCCTAGGCCATAATGTGATTTGTTTGGTTTTCTCAATATGTTAAGTAAAGCCAGCCATGCTGGTTTGTAAATCCTGGTTTATGGCTTGCATCGAGTAAAAAACTATATTGCAGTTTCTTTAGCAAGCCATCATTCAACACACAGCTTAACACAATAGGTGAGCGTAAGAGGACAGACAACAGCAAGGCTATGAATCAGGAGTCCAGTAGCACATTTCCAACGGACAAATGTTATTAATTGGCAGAACGCAGCTCACAAAAGCTTCTGCCTTTTAATAAAAAGTGTTAGTCGGAAAAGGTGCTACCTGATTCCTCCTGATTTTTTGCCCCCGTAGTCTAACACAGCTCTCCTCCTACAACATCTGCAATGCTATGAGTTTCTCTCTGTGCAGACACGAATAGACTTTCCATCTTGAAAGTTTAGTTCCAGGAGGCAATCAAGTCTGAAAGGATATTCTATTATTTATTTGATGGAGTGAATAATTCATTTGATTGGGTTTATATGCCACCGTTTTTGTAGGGTACAACTCAAAGCAGGGTACATAATGTATTTTCCCCACGAGAACCACCCTGGGATCTGAGTTGGGCTGAGAGAGAGTGGTGCCAAAAAAGTGAGCTTGCTCAAGGGGAATCTGAGTGATGTTAGATAGTGGCATGACGCAGACCTCCTCGGGAAGTCATTCCAGGCACAAGGAAGGAAAGAAGGTGCGTGGATCGCGACTTCCCCCTTTTATTGTAACCTTGCGGTGTTTTTAAAAAGCTGAGCGGTTTCAAGAGTAGTGGGCGGAGCAGGAGAGAAGTCTACAAGCCATAGACAGAAGAAAATTGTTAACTTGCTCTGTATTGTAATGGCCTCTGCTTTTAAATCCTACCTCCTCTGGTCTTTTAAACATTTAGGTTGGAGAAGAACATCCTTCTATGAACAGACTGACTGATGCCTTCTATATGGTCAAATTTAAAGTAAGTTTTCAAAGTAGAATACTCCTGAATTATAGGGACATGAATATTAAGATTATTTCTTCTTGGTTTTTTTTTAATGCAAATGAGTTTTGAGTGTTATTTTCACCCTTTTTTATGGACATTTTGAACCGGTGGTTAGATATTATTTGGGCTTAGATGTGGAGGAAGAAATCTGAGTACAGAAAAGAAAGAGATTAGGAACACAGATAGAGAAATGCAACTTGTTTAAATTACTGCAAACAATCAAAAATATACGTTGGCAGGATCAAATGCTGAGTCTGGGTTTTTAACTTTTTTCTCAGCCAGGGCACCCACAAATAAGATGTGCATGCCGATATCATCATACAAATGCCATGATTTAAGAATTTGTATCAGACACCAGGATGCAAGCATGTATGTTGTCACTGGCATGATAACAACATCATGCACATTTCTTCAGTTTGACATCATTGCCGTTTATTGTAGACACTGCTGGCTAAATTTGTCTGCCGATTCTGTCTACCTTCATGTATCACTGTGGAAAATTAAAACGACTCTTCTGACGCTCATCAAAGTTTTCTTTAGCCAGCTACTTGTTAATTGTGTAAATCTATCTCATCTAACTTGCTTCTGAACTGGGTAGTAACCGATCCTTCTAGGACTAAAGAAATGTCACTTTGTTCAACACAACATTTACTGATGTTCACTATCTCCAAGTAAACAGGCTCACTAGTACAGACTAGTGACCCACCTTTAAACCTAGTGCAGGGTGGGAAGAACTGTGATAGCTGAGGGTTTCATTTAACATTTTGGAAGAATCAAGAGCTGCGCTGGCCTGATGGTGGGTTGCGTTACCCTGCACTTTGGGATGTGCTTTGACATGTGTGCGAAACTAAACCAAAATAAACCTAATTGAGGGCTTACACTATAGTTTTCATGTATTTTCTACCTCAGAATGAAAGAAAAACACATCTGTTTTCAGCATTTATTGACTTATTTCTTCGACATCACTCTGCTCCAAACTCCAACCCCCATAGGAAGTCCAGGAAGATACTGTGATCAATAGTATTAAGCGCTTTGAGAGCAGGACCAATGGGGCTGTACTCCCTCCATCCAGATCCTGCTGCAGGTCATCAGCAATGGTGACCAATGCCATTCCATCCCAGGCCTAGGCCTGCAACATCACTGGAAGGAAACCAGCTAATCTGTTTCTTCCAAGATCCTCTGTAGACAAACCCCAACCATTTTCTCAACAGCCTTCCCCTCAAAGAGGAGGTTGGAATCAAATGATAAGTTCTCCAGAGCTTCCGGGTTGAAGGAGAGTTTCTTCAGGAGGGTGTATACCACTGTCTTCTACAAGGCATCATGACTTAATGTAATGGTCTGATTCACATAGCATGCTGAGATAAATGGCTGAGTTTCCACTATATGTTGAACCATAAGCTACTGTCAGGCCTAGCCCAAGGAACTCCAAGAGACCATGTAAATTCAGTCCAGCTATGTTT